ATTTTCTGCAATGATTTTGAACCCTTTTGATTCTAGGGCTCCCACAGAGATGAGATTTTTCTTCAAACCCGGTACATATAGAATATCTATTAATGTTCTGATCATGGTTCCTTAATCGTATTGAACCAATGTCATATGAGGTAAGAGGGCTGTTATCTGCTGTGTGGATGACTCCATATTCTCCTTCTTGAAAATCCACGAACCAGTCCCTGCAGGGACACATATGATAGCTACAAGCCGAGTCCATCAACCATATGTCTGATAATGTTGATGGCTCTGTTGTAACTAATGAGAAGTCTGAATCATCACCATCAGCTACATTTGAATCCATAATGGCCTTTACATTATTATGTTTGGCCTTATTCTTCAACTCCGGACAGTCTTTCTTCCAGTGCCCCTTTTCTCGACAAAAGGCACATTCATCTTTGCTGGGTCTAAATCTTGACTTGGATCTTCCTTTCTTTGTCCTCGTTTGATTTTGAGGACGACCCCTCACAACCAGTGCTTCTCCTTCTCCGCCCTTCTGTTTTTCTCCCTTTCTTTGTTCATAGTTGTACAAAGCCGAACAAACTTCTCTGAGAGAAATTTCGTCATTTCCATGGAGTAGAGTAGTTTCAAGGTGCTCGTACTCATCAGGAAGTGACGCCAACAACATCAAGGCCAAGTCACCATCATCATAAGTTGTATCCATATTTTGCAAATCTGTAACCAACTTATTGAAACTGGTGATATGTTCATTCATCGTGGTACCAGGAACATAGGTGAAGTGAAACAGTCTCTTCTTCATGTACAATTTATTTTGACTGTTTTTCTTCAAAAATTTATCCTCCAGTGCTTTCCATAATTTACTTGCAGAAGTTTCCTTTGTGTATGGATATTTCTGCTCTCTAGCAAGGTAGGATCGAATGGTACCGCAAGCAACACGGTTGATAATTCTCCAATCTTCTTCTCCAATAACATCTGGTCTTTTTTCTTCAATGGCAAGATCTAGCCTTGTTGAAAAAGGACGTCTAGAACCTCACCTTGCCACATCCCAAAATGTCCTGACCCGTCAAAAATTTCTACCGCAAATTGTACATTTGACACAATTCTTGTCATAAGCGAAGATGCCAATGATGACGTATTGTTGACACTTGATGTAGATTCTTCTTGTTTATTGTCTCCCATCTTTGACACAAATATTATTTAATAATTGACAACACAAATCAAGATTATTTCTTTTCTGGTGTGGAAGATCAGACTAAGCTGCAACCACAGAGCATACTCAGACAGAACCTTGACTCAGTTACCAAGATAAATCTTTTCTGATGTGGAAGATCAGACATCCAGCTAAGGTACTGTCTAAGTATGCTCTGTGGTTGCAGCATAGTCTGATCTTCCACATCAGAAAAGATTTATCTTGGTAACTGAGTCAAGGTTCTGTCTGAGTATGCTCTGTGGTTGCAGCTTAGTCTGATCTTCCACACCAGAAAGGAAATAATTTTGATTTATGTCGTCAGCTATTAAATAATATTTGTGTCAAAGATGGGAAACAATAAACAAGAATAATCTACATCAAGTGTCAACAATATGTCATCATTGGCATCTTCGCTTATGACAAGAATTGTGTCAAATGCAAAATTTGCGGTAGAAATTTTTGACGGGTCAGGACATTTTGGGATGTGGTAAGCCGGGGTTCTAGACGTCCTTTTTCAACAATAGTAATCTCAAACAAAGACTAATGGAGCTACAACTAAGAAGAAGAAAGAGAGATGGAGAAGAAAGAAACCTGAAAATGGAGAAATAACCAGAAAGTGGGAACAGAGGAAAAAGAAAAAGTAAAGGAAAAAATAAGAAAAATGGAGAAATAACCAGAATTTGGGCAAATTTTTACTTCCACGTGCATTGATTGCATGCAAAATACTAAAGGTGCCCCGTCATCTCTAAGGGAGATAGTTATTATTCTTTGAACAAATATAAGAAGGTCATAGAACGCTCGCAAAGTTTGAGGGTGTAACTGAAAAAGTAAAATAACCCTAGAGAATAATTATGTATTATCCCAAATTTTTTGCATCAAGAGAATCTGCTTTCAAGGAATCTTACTGCAATCACCGATCTTACCAAACTACAGTATAATTTTTTTTAACACCTAGCCGAGTAATTGACAAGATTGTGAACTCAATAGCTGTTTTGTTCAGTCGAAGCATATACTCCCTTCGGTCCACCATAAGTGACCAATTTGGGCACGTTCATTAAGTAAATACTAAATTCTAAAAATAGTTAGTGTGACTAAAATACCCTTAACTAAATATTGCAGCATAATTTAATGTGAGGAGTAAAAGACTTTTTAGGGATACGTACATAAGGGTAATTTAAAAAAAAACAAATTGAATATTTTCTTGATTATATAAATGGACACTTATTTTGGACCAGAATAAAAAAGATCACTTATTGTGGACCGGAGGGAGTAGCATTTTTGGGACCTCAAAATTTGTCAGAAATACTACCCGTTTTTCCGATTTTTTTTTCAAACAACTTATTTGTCCATGAAATTTTACAAGTTTTTTGAAAAACTTTCGAAAATGAATATTTCAGAAACCAAAAAGTGATTGAGATGCATGTCCAAATATCAGTTTTCAACTCAACTCCAAATACTACTTTTTTTTCAAAAATTACAATTTTTATGTCCAAAGCATACTAAATTTTATCACAAAGAATTCGGAAACTTGAAGAAAGATTCCAGGGACTATGCCAGGAGCAGCATGTGTTTATTATTGCACGTGTCACACTTCATATTCACAAAAGGTTTAAACTAATCAGGAAAAGAGGGGAAAAAAACAGACAAGAGACGCTTATTTACTGTTAAGGCGAGTCCATCACATCATTGTAGAATATCATCCTTAACGATGAACCAATTAGTGACTGAAACAAATCAGAAAGTTTTCAATTCGATGTCGTCAACTGAACCAGGATGGGGGGATACACAAATTGTAGAATATCAACACTCGTTTATGCTAATCTAATGAATACATAACGTGTACCTACACATACATTGTTATCACTAAACCATAGTTAATATATACATATTCTCACTTCTATATATCATTTAAGCATAGTAAGTTAATATAGTCTTGTGTATACGAGAAGTTAGAGATCTGGCATCTATCATTGCCATTACAGCAATCTTTTTAGCTTTTCTCCCATTGATGACAAATACCATAAGTTCATCTGTGAGACTGTGACTTTCACAAAAGGAGAATCTCATGAAGAGGCATCTCTAACTAATAAGTTATAACAATGCACACACACAAGTGTGTGTGTGTGTGTGAGAGAGAGAGATTGCACAAAGGGGTATTTGTTATTAGAATTAAGATTTGCCGCCACATATTTTGCATGAAATCTTGGAATAATATAAATATATAAGACGAAGCTGACTGCATGTTGTAAATGCTGAGAAGCGCAACAATCTCGTACTGAGAAAAAATCACTCCATCTTCAAGTGTTCATTGGCCTGAAAACAAAAAACGTGAAGAACAACTCAAATTATTCTCTTTAAANGGTTCAAAGGTAAACTCTGAGAGGATTGGTGTGATCAGTTGGACATTCATCAGCATATTAAAGTGTACCCTAAATTATGGTTAAATACCAAAGAGATACACCACTACTACAACAGTAGGGAAACCTTACGAAAGCAATTCAAAATTTCTCATATTTTGCATCTTTAAAGGAGATTTGAGTTATCCAACTTCTAAACACAAGATATACGATAAGACAAAATTTGTTTTGTTTCTACTAATTTAGTAGAGAGACAGGTTCAGGGGTGACAGGCAAAAAGAGCAAGGTTTGTTTTCGAAAGCGAGAGATATTACCATTCACAGCTATATAAATGTTATACATACCATAGTTTTGATGCACCTTTGTGAATTTATGGATGGCTTTTATGAGGGACCCAAATTTCATGGACTTCAAGGGCCCCATATGTCTGCAACCATAAATGAATATGAACTCAGATCCAAAACCCTTTTGTAACATGTCCTAAAAATAGTGCATGCTCCAGAAACATTAGCAAGTTGCTAATTATTAAAAAAAAGAAATTCTAACCAAGATTTGACCACAAGTGAAAAAGAAGAAGAATCAATTCAAATATGGACTAGCTTCATACTAGGAATACAAATTTAAGAGAATCTTGTAGTATCCCTTATGTTATTTAGTGACTCCAGATAATCAACAATAAAAATTTCATAATAGATGCATGGCGCGCTGTCACTGTTCAAGACTATACCACAGTGGCAGTACCTTGATAGAATCAAATCAAATGAGCTGAAGCATTATCTAGAGAGTACATCATGCCACAGATAAGCAAAAAATGGCTAAGTGTTTCAGCAGGAGTTTACTTACACAATCTCAGTGTATCGGATTCTCCATGCTGGGAACCCCATGTGACATCTCACAGGACCATAAACTAATAAAAGATCAGGCTCTCGTCCCCCATAACCTGCAGGATTGATAATTTATTCACCTTTATAGAAAGCTATTGTTTAAGTAAAGATGAAACATATTGATGAATACATCAGGCAAACAGGGGGAAGGAAGATAAATCGACAGACCTGCTGCTTGTAGAGCCTCAGACATGTCAGACTCTGTAATATTCGGTTTTCCTGGTTTAGTGCTGGCGTAATGCTTGACAAAAAGTAAATTAGCTGCTTTGGCCACGGCAGGTTTTGAATCAGCAAAAGAGACAAACTCCAGATCTACATGCTTGTGGCACAGAAGGGTATCGGCAAAAGAAACATAAAACTGTCATTAGTGCAATATTATGTAGATTTAACTTTAAGCTGAGACCCGGACGGCATTTGCCATTAAATCATTTAAACCTCATTATTCCACAGTTTTCATTTGATTTTATCACTTAGTTTGTTTTTGGCTCTTTTCACTTTGTATCCAGTATTTCTAGGTGTGCTTGGCTCTTTATCACTTCTCATTCAATCTTTCAGGTCTCTGCACTCCTCCCTTTTCATTTGTAAGATATTTATTTATAAAACTGGTTGCAAAGAGCAAAATTTTAAAAAAAGCAAAAATGACAATTGTAACTGGAACAAAGTTAGATGTCAATCACATAGAACCTACTCGAAAAAATTAACTTTCTTATGTACCAATAATCTCTTCCCCTCCACCCCCTTAACCTCACCCCATATAACAAAAAAGAGGAAAAGAACATAAACATTATATAGAGAAAAAGTGACGAGAAAATCTTAACTTATTTTGTTTATCATTTCTCATTCTTCTTTTCACGATCCAGGTTCACAGTCCATCATAATTGTGAAAATAGCACTGGTGACAATTCATGTGTTTAAAGTTGCTTCAGATTAGCATTCGGTAAAAAAGAAGAGAAATATAATTCGAAAGAAAATATTGGTCACTGTCCTAGGCACGTCAGAATATTAGGATTTAACAGACACCCTATAACTTAGAGAAACTAAAATATACTGAATGACGAGAAAGGATCTTTTGAGGGTCTTCTGTTTTTTCTCCGACTTTCCTATTTTAAGTGACATAATGAAAACTAGAGGTGGATAAAATATTCTCAGTAGGTTATCATTATTGAGCTAGTTAGAGATATCTTTAAACATAATATTTTCTAGATCCAGAAAATGTAAGAAATATATGTCATTGTAAAGGTAAAAATATTGGGCACTCCTCCCCCTTCCCAGAGCATTGCCTGTGTGCTTTTCGAGAGTCAACAGTCTAATGTTCTGAAATGAGAAAATCTCAACTCTTGTCCATTTTTAATTCCATAGCTGTCAAATTATTTGCAGAATTCAAGAAAATCATGGGGGGGAGTAAAGTTTACTATCATCCATTAATCAGATTCCTCACAGATATAACTTCTGACAGTATGCCAATTTTTTCGGAATAATTCAAGCTAGAGAGCACGTCACATAGATTTGCAGATGCCTTAATTTCCAACAAGAATCACGCTTCACTTGAATATATCAGGACTTAAAAGAAAAGAAATGAAAGTAAAGGTAAATGTGTACCAAAATGTAAAAAGTACCATAACCCATAAGTCCAAAACTACGCAGGAATTTGACAATACCTCAGGCAAGGTTCCATGATCCGATCCTTCTATGATGGATTCCTGGGACTTGTTCAATCCTTCTATAATGGCTTCCTGGGAATTTTTCAGCACTCCTACAATAAGCAACGGCTGTGGGAATCATATTTTTAGCAGAGTCTTGTAGATGCATCATAAAGCACTCGAACAAGCTGGTGATAACTTTTTGACGACCTTACCTTCTCTATCATAGAGGCAGATGCTTTTTATACCAATAGATGCAAGCCAATGCAATAATTCAAGAACTTTTGAAGTTTGGCGAGCTTCTTCGCTTTCAATCACAACAGCCAGGTATCGCACTTTATTAATGTTAATGGCATTGTAACTCTTTAGCAGCCGGCTAGAAATGAGGGTACTCTCCACTTTATGAGCTATACCCAATACAGAGTACCAAACATTGATGATCAAGTGTAGGATAAGCCAGATCAAATGAAGACCAAGGTTACCACACTGAAAAAGATGTCCAAAACCAAAAGTAAGCTAACTGCTAATATATAGATTTTAAGAAAAATGAATATTATGCTCCTCTAAACAAAGAAGGAATCTTTAAACCTATGTTGCCTAGACTCTCCAAGGATACTCCAAAAATACACTATTTTGGAGGATCCGATACGCACCCGGCGACATTTTCGAAGAGCCCTTGCAAGATAGCTTTAAACTACAATCCCCTTAAAGCTGATAGCCTAATCACCCAAGAGGCTAAAAGAGTGATTGAGGAAAGGGACTTCTACTTTATCAGCGTTTATTACTTAGAGAGCTGAAAAGCATGATGAATAACTTTTTATTCATAGCATTCTTCATTGCTTACAGGAAGAAACTGCAAACGATGGTTGGGCAGTGTTGAGTCCTTAGTAAATGAATTAGATTCAGCCATAAGGAGATTGATACATTTCATCTCTTTCATGTTTTACTGCTCGCTCTCAATGAACTTGAATGAGCTACATTGTAAAACAAGGTATCGGTTCAGTGTGACCAAAGATACTCAAAAATTAAACTCAATCCGGTAGAAGCTCAAATGTTCCGAACACCCCTTCATGGAGCATTTGACTTTGGGGTTTCTGGGAGGGGGAGAGAGGGG